GACACAATATAAGATCTCTTACAAAATCCCCTAATATTCTCTACTTCCACATGGTATTCTGAACTCAACTTCCACATGGTATTCTCCGTGTTTGTCGATGACATGGTCAAAAAAGAATCCCGCTAATTCCTCTTGAATTGCTCGTATGCGATCTTGTGGTAGGAGTTCATCCCGCATCTGAAACATCTAATTTGGAGCAGGGGGTCAATACATATATACGAATGAAACTCAACACAAATGATGGTAATAAAATAAAATTCTGAATATTATTGGTTACGCACTTCATATTGTTGTTTAGAGTAGCCCCGCTCACAGATCGTGTGGCGGATGAACTCGCAAATGTAGTATCCACAGAAATCATTCTCGGATTCCTGCCACAACCACTTTACAAGAAATAGAGGTCAATCAAACTGATAAGCAAGCATGCTAAATTGTATTGATGAAACTAGCTAGAATCAATGGGAGATGCGCGGAACTAGCTAGTAGCTAGTACTTACTTTCAGGTGGTTAAATCGCAGCTGTGCCGGCAGTCCCGGAGCTTGTGCGCTGAACTTTTTCCAAACCCTGCCAGACAAAGAAAACAATTACTTGATATCAGGAAATGAACAAAGTTACCGATATGGTGCGATAATAATGATCGATTGGACTTATTTCTCGAGCATTTTAGTCATGGTCGCATACTCCTCCGGATTTTTTCGTTTGGAGTCCATGATGGTTACTAGTCCCTGCTCAAGCTTAATCTCTAGCAGAATAAAGTGGAAGCTATGTACGCATGCATAACTCATCAATTACATTACTATAACCTCAAGTAATAAGGGAACCGAATATGCACAAGACAGTAACACTCGCCTGTATTCGTAAGGAAAGAGTATTGTATCTTTGTTTTGATTCCGAAGTAACAATCGTAGCAAGTTGGCCTCGGCATCTTTGGGATCATGTTTAACATTCCATTCATCCATGAGATTTGTGTTAATGAACCCAATATCACCTACTTGTGTTTTCTTCAATTCGGCGATCTTCAATCTGCATAATATATATAGTGAGGATAATTATATATACAGGCAATGAAAGAGTTGAGCTATATATAGAGACTTAATTAATTATAGAGAAGTAGTACTTACAGGCAGTAGCAAGTGATGATTGTTTTATCGAGGGCCTTTTGATTGAAAAATTGGAAGAACTCCTCATATGGAAGAAACAACAGATCAATTCCAACGAGGTCATGTTCCTCTTTAACTCTCAGCGTCAAAGTATCGTCCTAGACTTCCTGCAGATGTCCATGTACCAATCATGGAATCTTTGCATCATCGTTGTTAGAGGAGTACCAGGTTTGACGAGAGGCTTCCCGTGCCGGAATCTTAATGTGTCCACCTCCATTGTTTCAAAAAATGAATCGTCGTCGGGCATGTAATTGGTACCGGGCAGCATCGCTGGAAGATTAGCGATGATATCGCTAGACACATTGAGCGGGGG